GGTGCCAGGGACACTGCAGAATCTCCTTTGGCGTAAGAGGTCCAGTGGTCGAACCTAGTGAGTGCCATGAGCTGGGAGGACCTGAAGCCCGTGGCCAGTGCTACTAGGAAGAGGGCTTTCTGTAGTAGGCGGTTCTTTGACGTTCGGAAGGTGAATGGATCCTGGGGTAAGACAGATATCAGAATAATCTATGTCCTGGTAAAACCTTCATAGTAACAAGAACATAAGAAAAACAGACAACATAAGGCCAGCAGCCCTCAGGCTAGGTTGTCTGTATAGTTCACAGGACTGAAGGAGTAATGCCGAGTCTGGGTGGAGGGAGTTTGGGTTGTTGGCCAGTGCCTTCAACTTGGCGCCGAGTTGTTCTGGTCCTGCAGTAGTGGAGAAGGCGAGGGCCGCCTTCTGCCTCTACATGGTGTCCTTGGTTAGGGTGGTCTGGGCTATCTGAGAAGGCCTGCATTGGGAGAGAGGACTGGGTTAATTTCGAAGCCCACAGGAACTCCACCAACTTGTCTGGCACCCAGTCATCCTGGGGGGATAAGACTAAAGGGACCAGAGAGGGGGTGAGGTGATGGGGGAGCTGTTCCTTCCAGCCGCCGCCATCCAGATCGACTGGAGGTCCAGGTCCACCTTCTCCCATGGAAAGAGGGCTTAGCCGGCTGCCCAGGCACACCCCATACCGTCCTGTAGCGGTGCCACTCGGTAAGGAACTGCAGTGGACAGCACGGAACAGGAGGCCAGAGAGTCGAAAGCGTCCAGGGTCGCGACTGGGGACGTTCCTAACAGGGCTGGGACCATCTCCCTTCTTGACAGGTGGAGCTGCCAGAACTCAAAGTGCTCTTAACCTAGTTGTCTGCCCGTCGGCCGACCTCTAGGTCGGAACCTGGGAGAGAAAACTAAGTCCTCTCCCCTCTTTATTATCAATAACATGGCCAGTCTCCCCTGGTGCCGGTGCACAAACCAGTCCCGTGGAACCCGAGCCCACTTGTACGCCCCCTGGCTAATGATGTTATCCTGTGTCTTAAAAGAGAGGGGAGCATCCATAGGTGTGGGAAAGTTCCCTTCTCCTGACTAAGGCCTAGGACTTGTAAAGACTGGAGATGTTGCTGAGACCGGTCCCTGGTCCAAGTCGGAGTAGTCAGGCAACCCCTGTGAGGACCCGGCCCTCCTTGGCTTGGAACCCGACTCCGAGAACACTGAAGGGTCTGCGGAGGGGGAGCGAGGGAGGGGTCCCCGAACCAAAGGCGGGTGGTCGGAGGTGGCCTGGGTCTGCTGCTGCTGCAGCTGCTGCAGCTGTTGCGCCCAAAACCAGGAAGACAGAGCCTTCAACATCTCCAGGGGCAAGGCTGGAGGGTGGGTGCACTGCCGGGGGTGGGGGGGGGGCTGCGTCTCTGGCTGCGACGTCTGTGTGGCTGGGGCCAGTCTAGACGGAGCGATGGAAAAGTTAGAGGGACAGTCCCCCCCGGCGACGCCGTGGAGGTTCTCGTGGCCCGGGGAGGCGGAGGGGGTACCTTCTCCTGACGAAGGCCTGGGCCTTGTAGGGGCTGGAGAGGATGCTGAGACCGGCCCCTGATCTGAGCCGCAGGAGTCAGGCAGCCCCTGTGAGGACCAGGCCCTCCTTGGCTCGTAACCGGACTCCGAGAACACTGAAGGGTACGGGGAGGGGGAGCAAGGGCTGGATCTTCATGCCACAAGATGTTGGGTGGAGGGGGCCTGGGCTTGCTGCTGCTGCAGCTGCTGCGCCCCAAACCAGGAAGACAGATCCTCCAACATCTTCAGTGGCAAGGCTAGGGGGATGTGGGTGCACTACTCAGGATGGCCAGCATTTCCAGCTGCGACATCTGGGCGGCTAGGGACTGAACCTAGACAGAGCGATGGAGGAGGTAGAGGGGCCGTCCTCCCCAGTGGCACCGTGGAAGGTCGCCTGACCCGGGGGGAGGGAGCCATAGTAGGTCGGTAGGGGAGAAGGGCCCATCCTAGCCGAGCCACCTGAAGGGAACTGGTGAAGGTCCGAAGGAGGGGTGAGGACTGTCTCTCCAAGGACACTCTGGGCTGCCGGGACAAACCAGCTGGGGCCCTTGCGTTGTAGAGGGGTTCAGAGACTGCCGCTTCCTCCTAGCAAGCTCGCTTCCCCTTGGCCGCTGCACTAGGCTACCTGGGGCGGTGGTGCCTGTTGTAGAACTCCCAGAGCCGTGACGGTGGCGACAGGAGGAAGAGTGAGCACTCAACTCCCTGTGGAAAGCCCGAAGCCCCAGGGTGGAGAGAGGTGGGCTCCCCGGTGGCCGACTGGGACGCTGGAGGAGGAGAGCTCGGCCTGGGGTTCTCGGTAGAGTGGTGTCTACCCATTGGGCCTCGGTGGCAGCACATCCTCAACCGAGAACGGAGATCATGGTCCCTCCAGGAAAGTGGGGTGCCCCTGTGTCTGGCGGAACTGGAGGCTGCCACCCAGCGGTGCCGAAGCTGTTGCTAGAAAATGTGGGAGGTGTCCACATCTCCTTCGGCGTCGCGGAGAAGCCCTGCCACCCACTCAGAGCACACCATACAGTGACTCCAGTCGAACTTGTCATTGTCTACGCACTGGGCATGGGCTGAACAGGCAGAGTGGCCATCCTGTTGGAACCTGGCCAAACCCCTCGGGGCCGAGCAGGGCACCTTCTGGAGCTAGGGATGAAAAACAAACAGGAGAAATAAAACAATGGAGCAGGGAAGAAGAAGGGACTACAAACGTCTGTCTCTGCCACCAAAACCCGGGCCAGACAACGAAACCGAGTAACGACTCGGTGCATGGGGCTAGACGAGAGAAAACACAAGCAGAGGGTGGAAAAAGAGAGCCACCCATGTGGGGAAACCAAACAACGAAGCGACGCCCTTCGTGTGGAGCACCACACAAGAAGGAAAAAAAGGGGGAGGGAAGGGGGGGGACTAAAACATGTAAACAAGGAAAAGCAAAAAAGTCTGAAAATGGCCGAAACAAGGCGGGCACAGGCACAAGCCCAAACAACCCGAATTAGCAATACAACACCCCCCCCCCTCTCCTAAATAACTAAGAAAAGAAAACATCCTAGCAAACTTCTGACTAAAAAACTTAGATAGTGTGAAGAACAACAGACATAGACCATAATGCAAAGAAGAAGCTGAAGCAGAAGAAGAGTCTGGAAACGTTTACCTACAGCAGTGAGGCCAGGAAGAAATGACCACCTGAATCTAATTCAGGTACTCAATGCACGGCACAGGCAGTGAGGAGCTCTTCTGTGCAGGTACCCATTCTCTCAAGTTTACAGATTTCTTCAAGCTAGTAGCAACCTATACTGATATAGATGTATTAATATTGGCCTTGTCACCTCCTAGGGTGATATCATGAGGTCTAATATAGCAAGTGCACTAGCAAAGATCACCTCACTAAAATACTTAATTTTTATGTTCCTTACATCATCTTATATCATATAGCACTTGGGGATGCATGGGTCTGGGGGAGGGGGGCTAAGGGTGAGGGTCGGGGTGGACAGGGGGTGGATCAGGGAAGGTCGTGGTGTCGGGGGATGGGGGTCAGGGGGGGGGTGAGTTCATGGAAGTTCTCTCGGTTCCTGCTGGTATAAAGTAATTTGCCATAAAACATACCCAGAAAGCTGGCAAACACATTTATTATAAATAACAGTAATGCGTATTCATTACCTCTTGGTTGCACCATAAACGGGTATGACAGATCCACACAACCTGAATTATATTGTCAGTAGGGCGTAATAAATATGGCGTCAATCTACAAAAATATTAGTTATCATTCCTAATCCAGTATCATTGTAAAGTCATCTGGAAGTGAGATATGTATTGTAGAAAACATTTTGATTTGGCAACTCTCAAGTGACTTGGCGAGACGTGAGGTGCACACGGCAGTCTGGAACGAGGAGAATATTTTAGAACAACTTGATATAATTTTACTCATTACATGGTCCGGCAACGTTGATGACTCACATGCTTTCTCGTTTACATATGGTCTCAGAGATTAATAGATGTAGCATGGGCGCCTATTACCTAAACAACATGTGTCATTACAGGGGGTTGCTTATGTCATTATTAACGATATGAGTGATTATCGTATTATGAAAGAATAGTATAGTCACAAGTTATATTAAATTATGTAAATTTAGAGGTAACAAAAAGTTATAGTGGGTGTCTCGGCTGTCTGCCTCCTCCCCCCTTCCCTCCCTCCACTCCCCACACAAGTAAAGTTAGAAATGGTTGCCCTTCGTGTATGAGGATGGCCGGCCCTAGGGCCATCTGGGCGTGAATTTATTTAAGGTGCAGAAGCTGTTGCTAACACAACAACCACACCCTAAGTTAACGAGTTGTATGACCCAGTGTCAGGGAATAGTCCGAGAAGACCGGACAACTCGCCAACTGCACTGGCGAACCATTTCCCCGAACACGATCCGCAAACAGATTAACATTCAAGTCCCCAATTACAATTTTATTCAGCTGGGGAAAGTCCATCTCGTAATCAAGGGGTTAGACAAAACTTCGCTGCTTCTACAAGATATAGATTCAATCATATCCACAATCTATGTGCTCATAAATGCCCCTCCCCCGCCAAACTCACATTGTTACCAGATATATGAATCTCTGTCTGTTGCTTCAGAATCCCTAGTCTCACATTCACGGGTTCACCTTTGTGAGTGTGTGTCTAACGTGGAAATGTCCGGGACTGTACGTTAACCTGATATTAACTGTGTGATATTTCCTTTCTACTGAATAAAGGAATAATAATGGGTCACCTTTTTATTCCTTTCATCTGTATATTCAATGTTAGTTTCCTCTGTCCAACACTCTCTTAATCCCTCCCACACTCACCCAGTCCCTCTCACACTCACCCAGTCCCTCTCCCACACACCCAGACTCTCCTACACACACCCACACTTCCCCCGCACAGACCCACTTCTCTCTCACATTTATTCACCCTCTCCCACACACCCTGACTCTCACTGATCTTCTCCTTCGCCCTCCAGGAAGCAGCGAGGACGTGGGACTCCTGCCGAAGTTCACAGATAACGTCCCCAACATCACAGTGACAGTAGGACGGGACGCCCTTCTACCTTGCAACGTTGAGCAATTGAGAGATTATAGGGTAAGGCTTTTGTTTATCTTAAGGTAACCAGGTAAAGGATGTGCCTCCGTTCCCGACTCCGTATCTCACGTATGAACCACAACCCTAGCCATGAACCACAACCCTAGCCATAAACCACAACCCTAGCCATGAACCACAACCCTAGCCATGAACCACAACCCTAGCCATAAACCACAACCCTAGCCATGAACCACAACCCTAGCCATGAACCACAACCCTAGCCATAAACCTCAACCTAGCCATTAACCACAACCCTAGCCATGAACCACAAACCCTAGCCATACAACCCCAGCCATGAACCACAACCCTAGCCATGAACCACAACCCAGCACCACAACCCTAGCCATGAACCACAACCCTAGCCATGAACCACAACCCTAGCCATGAACCACAACCCCAGCCATGAGCCACAACCCTAGCTATGAACCACAACCCTAGCTATGAACCACAATCCTAGCATGAACCACAACCCCACATGAACCACAAACCCAGCCATAACCCTAGCATGAACCACAACCCTAGCATGAACCACAACCTGAACCACAACCCCAGCCATGAACCACAACCCTAGCATGAACCACAACCCTAGCCATGACCCTAGCCATGACCACAACCCCAGCCATGAACCACAACCCAGCTATGAACCACAAAATGAACCACAACCCTAGCCATGAACCACATCCCTAGCCATGAACCACAACCCAGCCATGAGCCACAGCCCTAGCATGAACCACAACCCTAGCCATGAACCACAACCCCAGCCATGAACCACAACCCTAGCCATGAACCACAACCCTAGCCATGAACCACCCTAGCCATGAACCACAACCTATGCCCTAGCCATGAACCACAACCCTAGCCATGAACCACCCCATGTGAACCACAACCCTATGAACCACCCCCATGAAGCCTAGCCATGAACCCAGCCGCAGAACCCCCACCACATCCCTATGTGCCATGACCTACAACCCCCCACAATCCCTATGAACCACAACCCTAGCCATGCACAACCCTAGCCAGCCATGAACCACAACCACAACCCCTAGCCATGAACCACAACCCCAGCCATGAACCACAACCCTAGCCATGAACCACAACCCTAGCCATGAACCACAACCAGCCATGAACCACACCTGCCATGAACCACAACCCCCATGGCCTAATACAGCCCCAGACCAGCCATGAACCACAACCCTAGCCATGAACCACAACCCTAGCCATGAACCACAACCCTAGCCATGAACCACAACCCTAGCCATGAACCACAACCTCAGCTATGAACCATAAGTCCGTAACCACTTACACTCACTTCATCCCCCCATAAAGGCCTCACAGCCTCTCCTATGAATTCCACTTCGGCCTGCCCCTCTCCTCCCAACCCCTTCCTGCCTCTCCCCATACCCCTTCACTCTTGCCTACCTCTCTCTGCATCTCCTTGCTCCTCCCCACTCCAACTCAACATTCCCCAGTCCTCCGCACCCCTTCTCTCCCCACCCTTCCTCTTCCCACCCCTAAACACTCCTCCCAACTCCTCCCTTTCCCACTCCTCCCCATTCCTCCCTTTCCCACTCCTTCCCGCTCCTCCCCTCCACACTCCTCCCCACTCCTCTCTACCCATCCCCACCTTTCCCCGCCCCTCCCCGCCCCCAGGCCGTGACCTCAGCCGAGATAAGGACCACCATAGAAGCCAACAGGGATAATCACGCTTTTCAGAGGTTTCAACCATTTCGACGCTTCGACCCCCGCAAGTAAATTGGTTCTCACAGGCAGTTTAATGCGTCTAAAGGAGAGAATTCCGTCCCCCCTTTTTTCCACTATTTTGGTGATGTCTCGATCTTGGTGTGTGTGTGTGTGTGTGTGTGTGTGTGTGTGTGTGTGTGTGTGTGTGTGTGTGTGTGTGTGTGTGTGTGTGTGTGTAATATTAACAAAGGTCTTTCAGGGACCCATGTCTGCTTGGAGTATGTGTCATCAAGACTGTGGAGTGTATCATCATGTCTGCTGAATGTGTGTGCTGGTTATGTTCTGTTCAGTGTGTACTATCATGTCTGCTGAATGCGTGTGTCATTATGTCTGCTCAGTGTGTGTCATCATGTCTGCTTTAGTTTGTGAGACATCATGTCTGCTGAGTGTGTGTATGCTTCATCATGTCTGCTGAGGTGTGTATGCTTCATCATGTCTGCTGAGTGTGTGTCATCATGTCTGCTGAGTGTGTCATCATGTCTGCTGAGTGTGTGTCATCATGTCTGCTGAGTGTGTGTCATCATGTCTGCTGAGTGTGTCATCATGTCTGCTGAGTTTGTATTATCATGTCTGCTCTGTGTGTGTCATCATGTATGCTGAGTGTTTGTCATCATGTCTGCTGAGTGTGTATGTCTGCTGAGGTGTGTAGAGTCTTAGAATCACGGGAAGACTAAGAAAATCTTAGTGTAGCTTTTTTTCTTCTGTCCTGCTCTCCTGACCCCGGGGTGATGTTCCTCCTCCTTCTGAACCCCGGTGATGTCTCCTCCTCTATGAACCCCGGATGTTCCTCCTCCAGACCCCCGGGGTGATGTCTCCCACCCTGGGGTGATGTTCTCCTGACCCCCGGGATGTCTCCTCCTCCCTGACCCCCGGGGGATGCCTCCTCCACCCTGGGTATGTCTCTTCCCCAGACCCCGGGGTGATGTCTCCTCCTCCAGACCCCGGGGTGATGTCTCCTCCTCTGACCCCCGGGATGTCTCCTCCTCCCCCCCTGGGTGATGTCCTCCACCTCGGGATGTCTCCTCCCAGACCCCTGGGATGTCTCCTCCTCCACCCCCGGGGTGATGTCTCCTCCTCCAGACCCCGGGGTGATGTTCCCTCCTCCTGACCCCCGGGGTGGTTCTCTCCTGACCCCCGGGGGTGATGTTCCTCCTGCGTCCCTCGGGGTGATGTCTCCTCCTCCTGACCCCAGTGATGTCTCCTCCACCCCGGGTGATGTCTCCTGACCCCGGGGTGATGTCTCTCCTCCAGACCCCAGTGGTGTTCTCCTCTCAGACCCCTGATGCCCTCCTGACCCCCGGGGTGATGTCCTCCTCCTGACCCCCAGATGTTCTCCCGTCCCCGGGGTGATGTCTCCTCTGACCCCTGATGTCTCCTCCTGGACCCCCGTGATGTCTCCCTCCAGACCCCCGGGGTGATGTCTCTCCTCCTGACCTCCTGGTATGTCTCCTCAGACCCCGGGGTGATGTCTCCTCCTCCTGACCCCCGGGTGATGTCTCCTCCTCCAGACCCCCGGGTGATGTCTCCTCCTCCAGACCCCCGGGTGATGCTCCTCCTCCTGACCCCCGGGGTGATGTCTCCTGACCCCCTGGGGTGATGTCTCTCCTCCTGACCCCCGGGTGATGTCCTCCTCCTGACCCCCGGGGGATGCCCTCCTCCAGACCCCCGGGTGATGTCTCCTCCTCCAGACCCCGGGGTGATGTCTCCTCCTCCTGACCCCCTGGGGGATGTCTCCTCCTCCAGACCCCCGTGATGTCTCCTCCTCCTGACCCCTCGGATGTCTCCTCCTCCTGACCCCGGGTGATGTCTCCTCCTCCTGACCCCCGGGGTGATGTCTCCTCCTGATCCCAGGTGATTTCTCCTCCTCCTGACCCCGGGGTGATGTCTCCTCCCTGACCCCGGGGTGATGTCTCCTCCTCCTGACCCCTGGGGTGATGTCTCTTCCCCTGACCCCTGGGGTGATGTCTCCTCTCCCAACCCTGGGGTGATGTTTCCTCCTTCTATCCCCAGGTGATGTCTCCTCCTCCTTTGACTCTAGTGGTGATGTCTCTTCCTCCTGACCCGAGTGATGTTCTCCTGACCCCGGGGGTGATGTCTCCTCCTTGTTGCCCACGGGGTGATGTCTCTTCCTCCTAAACCCCGGGGTGATGCCTCCTACCCCGGGGAGATGTGTCCTCCTAACCCCGGGAGATGTCTCCTCCTAACCCCCGGGGGATGTCTCCTCCTGACCCCCGGGGATGTCTCTCCTCCTGACCCCCGGGGTGATGTCTCCTGACCCCGGGTGATTTCTCCTCCCTGACCCCCGGGGTGATGTCTCCTCCTCCTGACCCCCGGGGTGATGTCTCCTCCTCCTGACCCCTGGGGTGATGTCTCCTTCTCCCAACCCCTGGGGTGATGTTTCCTCCTTCTATCCCCAGGGGTGATGTCTCCTCCTCATCTTGACTCTAGTGGTGATGTCTCTTCCTCCTGACCCCCGGAGTGATGTCTCCTCCTGACCCCCGGGGTGATGTCTCCTCCTTGTTGTCCATGGTGTGATGTCTCCTCCTGACCCCCGGAGTGATGTCTCCTCCTAACCCCCGGGGAGATGTCTCCTCCTAACCTCCGGGGAGATGTCTCCTCCTCTCCCCCGGGGTGATGTCTCCTCCTCTTAACCCCCGGGGTGATGTTTCCTCCCAACCCCCGGGGTGATGTCTCCTCCTAACCCCCGGGGTGATGTCACTTCTCCCAACCCTGAGGGAATGTTTCGTTCTCCTCCTCATTCCTCTTCTCTCCTCCATCGTTTTCTTCCTCCTATCTCCTCCTCATCACCCCTGAGGGATGAAAGTTTATCACCCTGCCACACAAACTTCGTTTATCACCCTGCCACACACACTTGGTTTATCACCCTGGCCACACACACTTGGTTTATCACCCTGCCACACACTTTTGGTTTATCACCCTACCACACACACATCACACACACACTTGGATTATCACCCTGCCACACACCTTGGCTTATCACCCTGCCACACACACTTGGTTTATCTGCCCTGCCACACATCACCCTGCCTACCACACACACTTGGTTTATCACCCTGCCACACACTTTTGGTTTATCACCCTACACACACACACTTGGATTATCACCCTGCCACACACTTGGCTTATCACCCTACCACACACACTTGGTTTATCACCCACACACACACTGGTTTATCACCCCCCACACACTTGGTTTATCACCCTGCCACACACACTTGGTTTTATCACCTGCACACACA